CCAAATAATCAGGAAGTTATATACGATTCTCCCGTGATAATTCGTTGTACTGAACATTTTCATCGTAATTAAATTAATTAATGTTGCAAACAGAATGTTACTCTGGCGTTAATCAGTGAATTGGCAAACAGAACCACTGTAATTCCGCGAAATGTTTCAACCCTAAATCTCGCGTCTAGACGGAAAAAAATCAAACTGCTCTTGCAGCGGTTCTTCCCCCATGGATTCCTGAAAAGTCAGTCGGGATGGAAAAGGGTATTCTCCGTTGGGAAAACAAAGGATGATCGAGTGTACGCGAGTGTACACAGAGGAGTACACGTTCTCGTGAATCTTACGATTGAAAATCTTTCAGCGGTATAAGAACGATCTTTCAATTTTAACCCTTTCGCTTTTAAACACGATTCTAATGAAAATTTCCAACCCTTCGAGCTTCATCGGGTTCTTTTGTCCAGCAAGCCAGTTATTCGCAACTGTACTATGTAATTCGAAGTTACAGGATCCGATAGGGAAGCATACTCGCCGATAAGAAGCAGTTTCGCTTTATTATTTCCTTCCGTCGTGTTGCTCGTTCGATACACCGGTTCGCTATTCAAAGTTTCCCCCCGTGGGTGGTGCACAATATCTTTTTCAACGAAACGCGTGCAACAGGGAACAACGATTGCAACTGTACATGCAATTTGCGCGGTCTTGATGTCGCAGACGCTTCGCGACACGTGTTCGCCCTCCTCGCGACACGCAAGCTAAGCGACACGCGTCGAATTGCCACCCCGAAGAGAAATTGATGTCGCCTACTCTATATATCAGCGGCCATCGTACCCAAGTAAATTATATTTATTGAAATAGATCTTTCGATGTGCGTTCATTTTGAAGACAGGGTGGGTAGAAAATGGAACACATACGGTATTGATGTACTTAATGAAACTCTCGTGGAGGATTAATGAAGGATGATGCTGTGTAATGGAAATGGTAAAATTGAACGTGTCTGAATTCAATGGATTCAATTTTGGAGAGGGCTGGATGAAAAATAATAAATTATACTCATTGATAGAGTCTTCCAGTAGAGGATTGATACAATATCAAGTGTATTTGGAATGATAAGTTACTAAAATAAATATTTTCTTGACGGAGGAATAACACTCAAAATAATCAATTACATATATTGAAATTGCGAAGTGTTAGAAGAAATGAATGGAAAGATCGATTATATTTGATGAAAGAGGTAGAAAGAGTGACCAGGAAAATTGGACACACTAGAAATAGAAGCTTCATCGAAATACTATCTGTTATTTATCGTATGAGATATTTCGATAAGAGATTGATGCGAAACATTACTTGATGACAGAAAATCAACTATGTTTTTGAAATAGCAAAATGTGATTATTATCTTTGAGAGTAATAATCGATGAAACAAGATTTCTAGAAATCGAAGCTTCATGAAGCTTCCAACTTTAAGTAATACCAAAGTCTTAATTCGTTTTTCACATCCGTTTAAGACATTTTGAAGCTGGACTTATGCTAAAAGTAGTTCAGAAACTACTTTGAAAGTGTAGTTAGAAAACGGTTAAGAGAAATTGTAGTGAAAATTTTGCAATCATCTTAAAGCAACTTTTCAATCATTATTCATATCTTTCTGGCTCTAAATTAAAAAAACAAACTTATCATATTCTTGAAAAATTTAAAAACATGTTATGAACTACTTTACAATTTCAACAAATTAAAGTTTAGTAGTTCTACGTTCGTTCCATTTAGTCTAATTAAGTAAATTGCCTTTATTCAAATTAAAAAACGCATAAATAGCGATTAAGAAAAATTATTCTCTAAGTATTTTTTGTTTCAACGATGAAGTTTTATATCCAGAGGATGAAAATACCCCTTAAAATTGAGGACGAATAATAAAATATTAATTCTTTTAGTCCTAAATTCATAATAATATTTCAATAGAGTGGAAGGTTTTAGGAAGAACAACAAACTCTCGCAGATAAAATCGTTTTCGAATAAAATCAACATTTTCACCTCGTATAGCCGTTTTACTGTTAAATTATTCAATGATATCCTCTTCGCATCCCAAACAAGAGGAAAACACATTAGCATAAAGGGTCATCATTTCGATAATTTATTGTGAGAGCTATAGCCTACTTGTAACATTACCAATTAAAATGTGCATTACAAACATGATAATTCTTTCAACAAAAACATTTAATATGGAAGAATTATTTATTAAATACTCTCGAATAAATCTCGCCGTTTAAACGAAATTCCAATAATCCCAATTGAAAATTACTGAAACGTTTTGCAATTTATTTTCATTCTGATCGATTGGAGCGATCCTTCCAAAAATCTCCCACGTCTAAATTATTTCCCGACACTCGATCGATCCCGTTGATCTTTAATTCACAGCTCGTCGTACATTCGACAAGATCGCATTAATATTAACGAACATCCACACGGTCGAGGGAAGAGGATAAAACGAATTGCGCGATGATGTAATTCCGGCAGAAGATTTCTGGACCCACACCGAAGGGAAGATTTCATTGAATATTTTAAGTGTCGCCCTTAAGGTCGTTTAATTATTAAACACCATGAATGTAACGAGACAGGGACGCGCGATCAATATTACCAGGTTGTTGCATATTAAAAGAACAATTTCGAAACATCAAAAGTCTCGATACGATTTCATGACATAAAAGTATCACGAAACAATGTTAACCCGATATCAATTTGAAGCTTAAAGTTTGACGAAATTGACTATATACACGTTTCATGAATACTTTTAATACGAAATGGCTGGTTGCCAATTGTAGAAGGGAATGACCGATTTTGAAATATATCGAGTCAGACACAATTCGATGTACAAATGAAGTTACTCTAAATTGGTATTATTTTATGGTAATTTTATGTTACTTTTCGATATTGCAAAATTCACGATTCGACGAGAGAAGATAGGGGAGAAATAAGAAGAAATGGAAAGGGATAAATAACAATAAGATACAAGGGGAAAGGGGTTGAAAAGGCTGAAAAGGGGAAAGATCCTCGAGGAATATCCTTTAAAATCGGATTCTCCTGACTCGATACCGCGTTCCAATATTTGCATTTATCAGCTCGAGCGCCGATAGAATTGCATAGAAGTCACCAATTTACAGGGGAAATGTCGAATGGATTATTGAATTTTATTTTACCGAACGCAATACGCGGTCGCTGGAAACGCGTGTATATCTTTTTTCCTACGGTAGAAGTGACTTCTGTTTCGACGTTCTTTAAAGGTAACTTAAGCTGAAGGCTATCGGATCTCGAGAAAACGAACTAAAGGTAATGGTGGAAAAAGGATCTAGTGGAAAATAAGAGTTAATGTTTTTGCTGTAGCTTTATATGTGCGACAGTTACAAATCGATTACTAATATCTTGTAAATAATTATCCCGCTTCAAAAAACTAATAAAGCCATTAATGATTTACTCCTAATTCGAATAGCAATTACGCGAGTGGAGATTGACTGAAATTCTTTTACTAACTTCAATCGTGATTGCAGAGCGTTGATCAATCGAGTTTTTCTGCTAGACTAAAAATTTTTTATCGATTTCATTAAATTATTGTAAACCATACTTGCTTTAATTCTCGCGAGAACAACAATCAAATGTGCCACTATAACTAAATTGAATCTGTTACACGAAACGAAAATAATACGATAGATGCGTTTAACGATTTTCAAATGTTCTAATGTGAAATTATGTAAAATCATTGTATGTTTAATATATAGGAAACGTTATATCGATGTTTCGGATACAAAAGGGTGCGGTCGAGTAGGTGCTATAAGTAGCAAAGGGATGGTATTTCATGAAAACTAGGTCGAAAGTTTGAAGTAAAAGTTTTCGCAAACGAGGTTGTATTTTTAACGAAATCTGCATTGGAAATTTTATGAAGCTGTGTAGATTTCACTCAGCTCGTACTTCTGGAACGACACTGGCGGTTAAAGGTACGTACGGATAACAGTCTAGGATTATACCGAATCATTCACGCTCGACGATAACGACATGTTTTGAAGTGGATTTCGAAAACGATATTGACCGAGGTATGACTAGACGTGATTTGACCGTACTGTAACCTCTAGTAGCTTTATTCAACAGACATAGCGTTTGCATGTACACAAGCGTGTCCACAGGACTTTCATCAGACTCCAGAAATACGATGAAATATATTTATCTGAAACCTGTCCAAAGCTATTCATATTGGGTCAACGATCGATTCGTTGAAATCGGATTTGTTATCCAGTTACTTTCACCCATGAAATAAAATACGGTAAGTGTCTACAATTAGGGAAAAGAGGTAAGTTCTATGTATTCTTGCCCCCCAAATCTAAAACTGTTGATAAAATTTGAGGGTCGCTTGTATTTAATAATTGTAAGATATTGTGGTAAATATTGACATAAAATCATTATTTTAAAAAATCACTTTGTGGGGTAGACAATACTTTTAAAGCGCGTCACTAATCTAAATTGGTTTGGTTAGATTATCAGAAAAATATAATTAACCCGCGGCAAAAATTTGACCAGTCAGCAATAGTTCTAATTCCTGTTTTGTATTTATTTACCGTCACATCAATCTCTAAGCGGGGTTATTAGTGACACAAATTCGCAATTAATAGAAGAAATTGATATTTAAATAATCTTTGATCCACTGTATCCTTAATGATTCATACTTATAGGATAATTTATTCACTGATATCTCGACTATTTTGTTGCCTAAAATTATAGAATCACGTGCTTCTTCGTCCTTAATTAATCACATTTTCGATGTCAGTGAAATTCATAAACGAAGATAGGTATTAAAATTATTCACTTGCTGTAAAATTAACTTAAATGAAATATCAGTCGAGTAAGGATAAACTTTTCCAAAATAAAAAATGTTTTATTTTCATTTCAACCAATTTATGAATTTCACTTTCTAACTAAATAATTCCGGTGTGAATGATCGCTTTATCGAATTAAAGAGAGTTCAAAGGACTCACCGTTCGTTGAACGGGAACGTCGCGTCGTCCAAGGACACCGGTGATTCCAACCCCAAGGAATGTCCAGATGGAAGGCCATGGAAGAAGATGAACGACAGAAAACCTCCCTCTGTGTCACGATGTTGTATCAGGTTCGTAGGTCACGAGCAAAAATTCCGATTCATCGGTGGATAAACGTGTACAATGTGACGAGTCGCGACGCCGCGTGCCGACTGAAGCCACTGCTCTTCCTACGGGAGGCACGACGCCGAGAAGTGGGGGAAAACGAGTCGGCTGTAACCTGCGCGCCAGTAACCCCCACTCCGCGCCGCCTGCCCTTACTCCTCGCCAGGCGCAGTCAACCCCTATTTCCCCCTACTGGCGCGAACGTAAAGCCACGTGGTGCGCAATCGTCGTCCGGTCGACGCTCGGCGTCGTCTGACGTTCGAACAGTACCATCGAAATGCATTCTTCTCCTTACATTTCAGATGCATTGAAACCTCGAGGTAGCTGTGAATGAATAGTATAATAATAGCGTACCACGCGGTAGCGTTATCAGCTAATCAGGGCAGAGTAATTAAAAATGTTCGTTTTTTGAATCGTGTTGAAACGATTCATTTAAGAAGAATCACTAGCATCGACGAAGACAATGAAAACAAATTTTCCTTTGAAAAAATAAAATGTACATAGGAAAACGACACAAAGGAAGAACTATGGGTGCACATGTTGGGCTACTGGATATTTCGTCCAACAATGTGACAATGTTGATGACTTTTCAGGGTGCAGCTTGAAAAGCGACTCGGTCGCATTGGACGCCGTCGAAGCGGGAAACGTCGTTGCGCCCTTCGTCGACGGTGCAACCGACGATCGATCGGTGCACCACGTTCCACGTGCAACGAGGATAAAACAACCGAGCGAATCCTTTGGCGAACAGAGACACAGCGCTGGAACACCACCCTACTGGTGTGAGAGAGAGGGTGGTTAAAGGGTGGAGAAAAGGACCCGGTCGTAAATTTTGGGGCTGGGTTCACGGGCTGGTGAAGGTCAAGTGCTTGGCCATGGTTGCAGCCGTCGCTGGTTCGAAACTACTCGACCAATACCGGACCCGTTCTCCAGCAGATCGCATGGTACTTGTGTAATTTAGTAAATGGTTTCTGCTTGAACAACCAACTGGATTATTTGTGTACACAGGAAAGTTTGTACGAACTTTTGAAATAAACTTGTTCCTCGGGGATTGTCTTGTGAAATTTTGTTAGACCGCGAAGAGAATGTGAATGGGCATTTCTTTCGTGTTTAAACACGTTGGAAGGATGGGATATAGAAATCTGAGTTGATTTGTAATAGTAACAGCCTCTCGATGAATAAAGTTTCAAAAGAGAATAAAGTAAAGATCGATGAATAAAGTTTCAAAAAATATACAAATTATCCCAATCTTCCATTATATGTACGAAGATGAAAAAATAAATAAAATTGTATGGAAGGAATTTATATAAGATCAAAATAAATGATGAAAAATCAGAGTACATAAAACCACCCTCATTTTACCTTTACACTCCCTATTCGTAACTCTTCCCCCATTCACGGATTACCTATAAAACCACACTGAATAATGAAGCAAAACATCGAAAAAGAAAGAGCACCGAACAAAGTACGAATATAAAGATAAACCTCCACACCCTTACGAACCCTTGTTGTTTCAATCCAATTAAGGTTCACGAGACAACACCCCTTGGGACACGGTTTCCGCATACGAATAGGGAACGAATCGTGTCATTGTCCCTTAATATATCCCGGTATCGTCGATTTTTTCGTGACCCGGCAGAGAAGGGTTGGGAAATAAGGGGAAAACATCTGTCAGAGAGTGTGTGATTTGGATGATGGCCAATTTCATTTTGACCAAAGGTTCAAGTCCGTTTCTTATGGTGTTTCCAATGGATTATGAAGTCGCTGCCCGTCCCTTTTAATGGAAGACTTTTAATAATTCGTCCTGATTGCATGTTTTCTTTTTAATTATTGCATAATAGATTGAAAAGGAAAATTAGACTCCTTTTATATAGGACAGGTTGCTGGAACTGTAGATGCTCGATGATTGAATTCACGAAGGTGTAATGATATGTTGGGTACCTGAAAATTATAATGCACATATTAGAATTAAAAATAACTAACATTTCACGATGCTATTGTTTCATTGACCAGAAAACATGTATGGGTTAATGTACATTTATATAAACCACGACCACAAAAATAGATTGATAAACGTTCATACGTGAACTCGAAAACTGTAAAATGGATCAAAATGTTATAGGACATTTCAAAATATTAAAGGACATCTCGTGTCACGTTGTTTTCCAATTTTTCTCGCAGCAAAGAATTATCCTCGCCTGTTTCGATTAATCTAAAATTCGTTCGTTTAACGACCCGTTTTCACGACTACGATTTAGTTGTGTCGTCTCTCTTCTTTTCCTCTTCATCGTCGGTTTCGTCTTCGTCGACGGACAGATCCGAGCCCTCTTCATCATCCCTCTTACTCGCTACTTTTTCCCTGTCAGACTGATTTACTCGATCATTTTCGTCGCCTCTGTTTGCATTTTCCGTTGCGTTCCTCTTCTCCGGTTGATTTTTGTACTCGTACTCCTCGTTCTCGACTTCGATCACCTCGTCCGCGTTTCCAGATCTAAAATGTTATTAATTGTTCGAAGGATTTACTATCCTCGATATTCAATTCTGTTTGAAAATTCGTAATATTCAAGCAGTCTGTAACTACATTTAACGATATAATTTGCACAAGATTTTCGCAACATCGGTTTAATAAAATTACCCGCTGCGTCTCCTTCCACGTCGAGACCTCCTTCGGGATCTCCTCCTTCTTCTTCTGGATCCACTTCTCGATCTTCTTCGCCTTTTACGTCCTCTTCTTCGCCGACCTCTCCTAGCATCCTGTACCTCGTAGTCCTCGAATCTGATCGGGGTTTGACGGACTCCTTTCCCTCTGGCTTGGGAAACCGGGCTACCCGACTTCTTTGCTTCGTAATTAACATCGTTCATTAAATCCGAGGAAACGCGCAAAACCTTGTACGCAGCGTCTTTAGGGATCAGATAACCGGATTCTACACCGAAATCGAGTGCTTTCTGGATATATCTCTTCATTTTCTTAATTCCTGAAACCGAGGGGAGAGAACAATTGACCTGTAATTAGGACGAATTCGTGGGTCAATCAGTTTCGAGGAATCATCAATTTAAATTTCATTTAAATTAAAATTTCTATTTTTATCATTTTATCCTTTCGATGCACACGACAGATATTACTGTGAAATAAATTTTCACAGTAAATTTTCATGGTTTTCATAATGATAATCCAGCATCAGTTTATCGCTATTATATAAAGTAACAAATGAATAGCATCAACCATTGTTATTTTACTGCCTTGTGATCTCATTAAACGATCACAATTATTGCCAACAAATTTATATTAAATTACTTCTTTAGAAAACAGAAAATTCAAAGGGTATGGGCCAACCTTCTCCTCCATTGGATTTGTGCATGCAAGAGGACAAAGTCTGGTCCCTGGTGGTCGGGCGACGTTTCACGCGACGTAGCTTGGAATTTCTCGACGAATCTTTCCGTTTGTTGGCCATGTTCTTGGTGTTCCGAGAATCCAGGGAATCCAAAACTTCTCTGCGGCGTTTCTGTCGCTTGCAAAAGCTGCACTTCCCTCCGTAATTCTCTGACGCCTTTTCTCCGCCCTGTTTGCCGTCATCCAGGTTGAGATACTTGTAAACCAGCTCGGAGATGCTCGGTTTACGACGACGCACCTCTGAAACGCGAACAATTTTAATACAATCGAATGGAACGTATAGTTCACGTAACTTTCCGTCGAAACGACCTACCATTTAAGAATTTCTTTCTCTAATTCACGCCGCCGTTTAACGCGAAACCGTGTGGGTGGTGAACGAATTTAGAATGATTGTTCCGACAGAGCGCGGAGACTTTTCCATTTGCTAAAGAGCCGGTAAACGAGCGAGGAAAGGAACGAATAATGGATAGTTCTTGTGGAGATTTTCAGCGCGATGAATAAGTTATGTTTTATTTATTTTTATCAATGAAACTATTGAAAAGCAGCGGATAGAATAGAAAATGTTGAATTGTGGGTGTTACCTATAACCGGGGCAAAAAGAAAAAGAAAAAGTCGATGCAAAAAAATATCCAGCCGACGAATAACAGTTTTTATAACGTTTATTGACATTCTAAAAGTCGGTCACCGATGTTTCGTCGATGAAAGCACAGACACGAGCTTTTCATTCGCGGTGAATGAAAGTTTGCAACTTAATTGTAACGGCATCGGGACGATTAAATTAACCGTGTTCCGCGTTTGCACAGATTAAACTGACCATCGTTTCGTTGAAACAAACGTTTAAAGGATCGCTTTCCCGTTCTACAGTCGTCTCGTGGAATTTTCATTATCGGAACTTGATTGAAGTTTAATTAGTTTCGGATGGTCTGAGAATTTTTTTAATCGTACCGTTCTAATTTCTGTCTAGAATTAAATTCGTTAATTATTTCTTACAACGAAATAAGAAGTTATCGCAATTATTTTTTCCACGAACAAAAATGAAGGTTCTTGTAAAATTTTATAAACGAGAGATTCATTTGAAAATTTGTTAAATATATGAAAAATTAACGTGTTTCTCGAGATTCTCTTTCGAAATGATCACACTCACTCTTGTGATTGCTTCGCGTTTGAGGACGTCTCTTTACGGGGGCCATTTTGTGCTTACTGTTGAATCCAATGGTCCTTCAGACGTCGGTGCTGTTTGCCGAAGGAAGCTGCTAGTTGAATCCGGATATCTGGATATTTTCTGTTCGGTCGTGGCGCGAAATTTTGTCTACGTATTTCCGGGACATTGATGAAAAGAAGAGAGGCACGACCGGGTGTGCCAGACCGTCGGTCTTTCCTTCCTGTTTTCTTTTCAACGAAACAACAGAGCTGCGTCTCCTGGAAACTCGTTCTCCTATTTTCTTTTCTTTCCTTTCGACGTCTACCATCGATTAGGGTTTTACTTTCATCAATGTGTCACGTGAGGGTTGTACCAACTGAATTGTACTGAAAAAGTATATTCGAACATATTCAGAGCGTTAATTGAAACATTGAATTTTTTTCAAAATAACAAATTAACGAGCTAGCATAAAATTTTTATATTTCACCTATTATTATCCAAGTGAAAGATAAAAATCCTTTTATTTTCCTTTCGACAATATTATACGAGGATCGTATAGACGATGAAGGAAATATTCCACGGTTTAAGGGTGGCACTTAAATCTTCGGGGTCGTCATATCACCGACTGAGCCTGCTGCCATTGTAACCATCGGATCTATTTTCCGTCTGTTGACCTTTCACGGTACTTTTCGTGTGCACGTACACACGCGCGTAAGGGAATTCATGGCGACGATTTCCGACTCTGGAAGCCGATAGAGACGATCACGGGGTCAGGCGGATGGCGGAGAGGGCGATGAGGTCAGACACGACGATCCCGGATCGTCGACATCGACTTAAATGACTGAGGAGACGTTGACTTTCGCCTTGTACCACTTGGAAGATTTTCCTGTTGATTTATAACCAAGGGCGGTTCATACCTTTTCTTATGATTTCATAGAGGGTTTTGATAAGAAGATTTAGGAGATCTAAAAGTAGATGATACTTGCTGAGCTGAGTGGAAAATTCTTTGGAATCATATTTCCACATTTCTCTTTTAATATTATTATGTTTATCTGATATTTGTCAAATAGAACATTAAAAGAGTTCTACCGCGAATTGTAAAATTGTCGTTGCTAAGAGTATCATTGATTCCATGATTCCTGGAAACATAACTGGGATACAAATTTTCAGAAATTGTCGACTTTATTAGTTTTAGAAACGTCCTTGTCAACCTGAAGGCTGTTGAAGACATAGCCTTTCGATGAAGGGATTCTCAAGTCCTTCGAGTAAATTTACACCACCTTCAATTTAATTCATAGAAACGATCAGTAACAATTTCTAAGTAATAATTCTTTGAATGAAATTTATATATAAAAAATATACCTTATCCTTCTCAGTCTATCCTCGTCTTTCATTTTCTCCAAATAACTTTATTACAAAATCAAATCAACAAATTTGTGTATCTAACAATTCTAAATTCGTCGAAAATTCATGGTATTGTCCAAAATGTGACAAATATTTCATTAAAAAACAAAAATGGTACAGGAAATGGTCGATCAATTTATGTTTCTCAGAGCATTGTCTTCGTTGCTGGGCGTTTCTAAAGGTTCTTCAACTTCTTTGCCAGGATTTCCTGGCAATACATCGTTATCCCGTGGGACATCCTCTCGACTGGATTCCGATCCTCGCCTCTCCGTCGTTGTCCTCTCGTTGACTTCGGTTTCAATGAACTTTACGCTGTCATTGTCCTCGTTGCTGGACCCTCGACGTTCCTTCTTGCGATTCTCCTTCTCGTTGTTTCTCGTCGACGGGGATCTTCTGTTTTGATCGCTACGACTTCGTCTCCTTTCCGTTACCTCGTTTTTGTGTTTGCTTCTCGTTTTCTCCACGCTCTTCACTTTCTCGCGAGGTTCCTTCGATGAAAGGGAAAGAGTCGTGTGCGTCACCTTACCTCTGAAATATGTGAATCATAGAAGGGACGGCACGTTTTATTACAGCCAATAAAACGGGGAGATCATTGCTCTTTTATTTGCTTTCGCCTGGAATTGTTTAACCTTAGAACGACGGACCATGGAGAGAGCTCGAATTTTAATTTAATTTAATTTCATATCTTTTCGTATTTTAAATTTTACACTGTTCTGTTAAAATTATTATGAAGATACGATCGATCGATGTTACTTACCTTTTCTTCGTAATCGCGTTGTTCTTTTTCTTCAATGGTTTATTTCGAACAGACTCCACAGGCTTCTTCTTCGGGGTGGCTTTCACGGTATCCACTTTCGATTCCGGATTCTTCGAGGTAGATCTCTTTTTCCTCTTTTTGAGAGGTGCCATTGGCGATGGTGTGGGCTCACGATGTCGTTTCCGTTTCGTATTCCACGGTGGTGTTTCCTTGCGATGCTCCTTACGATCGGTAAACGGCTCCTCCTCGCCCCTTCGTGTCCTTCGACGTCTTCTGCGTGATTCTGAGTCGCTTCGTCGGCTTTCTACTAACGTCGGAGACACGTGGAGCACCTGTCCTTGCCGGTCAGCCGGGATCAGGTAACCAGATTTCATGCCAAACGAAAGTGCCTTACGAATATACTTCTTCGCCTGTCGTTTACCTAGAAAAATTAGCAAATCTTATCTTCGAAAACTTGAATTAAAAAATTGAGATTAATTAATTTTAACGAGTATAAATAAATTCGTATACCTTCCTCGATACCAGCTTTGATATAACTATTGATAACCTGGACGAGAGATTTCTTTTTCAGAAGCGCCCTGGTGTTATCGATCGTATTTACGAGAGTAATCGGTTCAACGGAGATATTCGATACGCTACTGTTCCAGGATACGCTGCCCTCCGAGCTATTCGTAGCGTCCATTACCCTCGACGTGTTCTCTGTAGACGTTGCTCCAGATTTCGTGTACTTGGACCCATCGACCGATATCGTGCTTTCATGAAGGGGCAAGCTATCGTACGAGGATTCTCTAAGACTTTCATATTTCCGTACTCTACCTTGGGGTATCCTTTCATCCTCTCCTCTACCTAAAATAACCCAACATATTTGTACATCGACAAATCCTTAACATTTCATGTTCGATCATCAAATTTTTATAAAAAGAGAAAAAAAAGTAATTTTCTCTAAATGTAAGATACAAATGATACCTTGGTTATGTTTCGTGGCGTTCAGCAATCTATACACCATTTCCGGTACATTGATAGTCTGACGGACTTGCGTTCGACGCGAAACGGCTATCGGTTTACGTTGCCGTCCATGGACATAACGCGGTTCTATTACTAGTTTCTTGCCCAGCCAGTTTCTCGTCCCTTTCTTCGATGGTGCCATTATTAGGTAATGGGATTTCCTTCCCGTGTAGAATTTCACGTCGAAACAACGAAATCGCGATCGGTGCTGAGAAACACCGCTCAACTTTTAATGTACCACGCGAAGTAATTACACCATCGTGCTTTTCGATTGATCGAAAGATAGTTGCTTTTATTTTATTTATCATGTATATGTAATTACTTTGTCATTGACGTGGCGTCATTGAAAGCATTCCTTCTTATCCGTTTGAAGACCGTATGTCGATCATAATTCTTCGTCGCACACGCTCGGTTGTCTCTTCCTCGTTTCTCATTAAACTTTTCCAGGGAGCTTTGTCGAACAGGTGTTGCGAAAGTTTCCAGGGTGGCGCCACACAGCCGGTCGCCGTCGATTTATTGCACTTTGATCGTCGTTCCAGCCTGTTTTCGTTTCACGACTGACCCGTGTATCGATCGTGGTTGAAACGACGTGATTCCATGAGAAAAACTTTCGAGCGTCCTTGACTTTGCGGAAACCACCGTCAATTTTCTCTTCTTTTCGCCTGGGTGACAAACGACGAGAGCCACGTGAATGACTCGCTCGCAGGATTATCGCGGATTTCCGGTTCGTTCGAACGGTTCCAGCTGATCGATAGAAATGCGAACTCCTTTCATTCTTGTCTAAAGGATTGATACGCTTCATTTTGATCATTTTCTTTCGTTTTAAGCACAGAATTTTAACTTGCGATATAAAATTTCTTATATCGCAAGATAGGGTTTTTAAATTTTTGTAAATCCTTTTATCAAGATTCCACTCTTTGAGTTTAACCCTCGAACGGCGGACCATGGGGAGAGTCCGTGTTTTAATTTAATTTTGTACGATTTGTAAGTCTGGATTACGATTCAGTATAGTAAGCATAAAATAACTTCTGGAAACAGACTTTTCATTTTTTAGTCTTTATCAACCCTTTGCCATTTTGTCCTACTTTGAATCGTCCAAGATGTCGTAAAGATATCGAAGTTCCCGAAGACGAGGATTTTTCAACTATCGTTGTCGAAACAACGAGATCCTCGTCCTTGAATCTACTTTCGTTTATGTCAGACATTTCGTAGCCGAACGATTCGAGTAGTGGTCGTTCGAGACGTAATCGAGCGTCCTGAAGGACAGGTGGCGATACAGGGACGAAGGTTAGCCGTGACCGGGCGACGAAAGCAATGTCCCGTGGTAATGTCTTCCTCTGTTCTTCGAGGAACTCGTAAACGCGAGGATGCGACCAAACAACGACGACCCGAGACGAGAGTGTACGAGAATTCCCAAGGGAGACTTTCTTTGCCGAGGACATTTGGTAAGGTTACGTTTCTTTCTGCTCTAAGGACGATGTTTGCGTCTGGAAAGTTGTAAAAATAGGTCACCCGTCGAAGAATCGATCCCGGTTACATCTTCTTTTTTCCTCTGTTTCTTCGTTGAAATCATATCTACCCTTCGCAGGTATCGCCAACAATTCGTCGGACTCCCCTTTTTTTTATCATAGACATCATTTTATACTTTATTCTTATCGTAGTAATTAATATTGCGAAGGTCCTTTTAATTTAAACGAATTATCAACCATCAAAGGCTTACTAATTGCTCTTCGGTCAATAACCAGCGACATCAGAAAGTTTATTAATACATGTCCTGTTGGAGTATTAACACGTTGACTGACCTGTTCTCAGGCAATCGACCCCGCGAATTCATTTTTAATCAGATAATTACAGAGAAAGGAAAAAAGAGGGCTTCAAGTCCGTTTATGTTTTACTAATAAGGGGAAAAGTAGATCGAATGATCAGTCTGAATAATTAAGTGATAATGTCTTATCATTTGTCACGTTTGAATTATAAAGTGTGTCACGAATAAAATGAAAAGAATTTAGGAAGAAATCTGTAGATACGTAGTGTATTTCCTTAAATTTATGATCCAGAACACGTCAGTCTTTCCTCCGTTCGTTTGGGATCGAGAAGATGATACCTATATGATACTATTGAATTATTCCCGAGGAATATCATCTCACGGTTTCCTCCGGCCAATAAAGCTATCGGTTCGAGACGGTTTTCTCCTAGACGAGCGTACAGGTGGATCGAAGAGTAATTGAACTTGACTCTGGGTCCATGTATCGAGGTGCTGTCCTTGAATCTTGAAGCGAGTTCGTGCAATAAATCAGCGTGGCTTGATAAAGTGCAGCGGCCGTGAATTATACGCGAAGACATCAATTTCTCACGTGCATCGCGTACAAGAACGCCGTACTAGAAAATTTAAAGCTTTGTTAGTCCATCGAAATTTTTTCAAATAAAGAGAAGGAGACGACAGTGGTCGAAATCAGAAGGGAAAACAAGGTTGAACGATGAGTTTTAATATTCAACCTGATTAAATTCGTTAAAATTCGGTCCCGAATCTCGTCGGAGCAGAGAAAAGTGAATGTAATGACAAGAGCTGGGACGTCGTTAACCAGCGATTGCAATTACAGCCTACCGTTTAATTACGCGGTGGATGCTTGTAAGCGTTGCGGAGTCGCGCAACATTTTACCTCGCTACGTGCACGACGGAATGAAATCGTAAACCGACGCTTAAATTACAACAGTATGATTGTAGTTTTGTCAACGGTTGCTTCTTGATTAGCCGTTGCAGCTGTTTAGGTAAATTACATTTAATGTATTCGCTGTTTGTTGAAACAAGAAACGCGGAAAATTCCGAATGAACTTTCATCAACTTTCGTGTTTAATTAGTACCCGAAATTCTTAGAGAAAATATTCTAACTCTATGTTCGATGCAACTTTGTTATTTCCTGATTCTGACCATCATATTCTACTTGTCTAATCACGTATCCCCCTGTTTCACTTGTCCGACTCTACTTATCTTATTCCACTTGTCTGATTACATACCCGTCTCATTCTACTTGTCTGATCTCAGATCGTCTATATCTCATTTATTTAACTATATATCATTTTAACTTTTATTAGGATGATAATACTGCCGTAAAATTTGCCCTTTTATTTTGATAATAACATATTGGGAAGCAAAAAAAATTCATTAGTTTTCAGCAACGAAAGACTTTCGTACCCAATGTAAAATTAGCTCAATCCCCTACGACTTCCACTTTCATCGAATTTGCAAATTCGTTTCCCGGAAGCTCCGTTTCTCGAATGAAACAAAAGCTTCTGTTGATGCATAACGAATCGAAGAAGTTTTTTTATTATACTTTAGGTTAAAGTTCGACGAGTATCCGTGTTTAGATAAAATCAATCAACTGGAATAGAATTTATAAAAAAGAGATTTCGGACGCTCTCGCAGATTTATTTTAATAATTTTTCAATCACTCGCGTGACTGGTCTCGTTTATCAATCCTGATGAAATCGCGTGCGAGCAGCCAACGGAACGTAAAATCTTGCCGCGTTTTCAGCTGCGAACGCAGAATTTTCAATAACGAACGAGCATTTTTTCGGTGCAAATTTCACGGTTGTCAGCGACGCCCTCGTGTTTAAACATTTTTTAACCTATCGCGTTACTATCGGCTTAAAGTAGAGCAGCTTTTATTGCAGCGATTCAGCTCGGAACTGATTGCGTTACATTAAAAGCTCGCCACGTGGAAAGAGGCTGCAGCTTGGCGAAGCACTTTTTCAATTCTACATTAAATCATTAATCGAGTTAACTACAGTTAGTAATATAATATAAAATATCAAGCAGAAGAAATTAAATTTTTCCCTTTGAACATTACTTTCCTTCTTTAAACATTCTGTTCGAAAATTTGCTTTAAAATTCTACGAATTTTCTCATTTACGATATTATTAATTTCTTGCGACGATTTCTAGAACCATTATCGACATTATCGCTCGCTCGTCCCCCTCATCAAGAAACTTTCCTCCCTTCAGATGATTTCTGTTCGCAAACTTTATTCCACCTCTGTTTTCTTTTTCTTCAACGGCAGCTGCAGCATCCGGCATCGCTCGGTACATTATTAAATTTTTGATTTAACGCCCGCTCGAAAGAAGGCGTTACTTCTTGAACCTTGACATTTTTTCGAATCGCTCGTTTCGAACTTGAATATTTCGTCGCCATTTGAATGAGTGTAATCTGTCTGGAAAGTCACTGTTATCCTTGAACAACGGGAAGTGAGTTTGACGATTTTCAAACGAAACGAACTGCCTTTGAGATTGAACGTTCGTAAATTCGTTTACGTTGCAACGCGGTGCGGCGAGCGTCAACAATTCCGCATCATTGGGACAAGCTGTTCCGCGATTGCTAGCTTTCAGTCAAGAAACTTTCGCTCGGAACATCTTCGAGAAAGTAGTTTACGGACAAATTTCCGGTGTTCGTTCGTTCGGTCCAGTAGAGCAAGACGAAATTTTCTTATTTTTAGTAAATTTTCTTAAAAACGACTTCAGTCACTCTGCTAATTTTTGAGAAATATAATCAACAATTCCTGTTTCATTTTCCTAATAACAGGAACGTTAATGAGCAGGGTAGCAGAGAGACAAGTGACGTACGTTTCAAGTTATTGTATTTAATAATTAATATTCTAAGATTCCTATGCTATTGCTCCATTACTCTACTCAACCCAAATGTGTCTCATTTTGACTAATAACGAAGATGTACATGATCGTATCCGAATAGATGATCCCATTCTACTTGTCTGACCACCAGTTTATTCTTATACTCGTCAGTGTTCATTAATGTCTGATAAATTTCTAATAAGAAGAGGAAACAGTAAATAGGCAATAGGAATGAAAGAGCAGAATTTAGTTGTACAACTTTCGTGAATGTTAGTCAGGCATTTAGTGTTAATAATATAAGGGAACTTGGTTCAACTAACGATTCAAACATCGTTCAAAGAGAACAATAGCCAGTACCGAGGAACAAATAATTGCATAAGCAGCTACGGGCTATCCTAACTTCTCCGTAAAACTGGAACACTACGGATACACGATAAACTCCGTCAGGGACAGTTTAGAAAGTTACACCTAAACTTTCAAGCGAGTAACAAGTTCCTTGCAAGCTGCACGCGCAGTTCAAAGGGTCAAAGGGCACGTTATCGTCCTATATCAAGCTCTTCGATCGGTAAACTCTAAATTATCTAAAGCTACATTGATTTTCGATTAAACAATTGTGTTATAAAAATGATCAATATTTTTACTTATGATCATCTTAGTTTTGTTAAAATTCTACCTCAATTATTAATTGCAAGGTTTGTATTATCAGTCGTCGTTGTAGAATAGACCAACCACCCAAGGATCTTTTCACCCTCAGGGGGCTGTAAACATCCCTTATCATCTTCGTGTCGCATCCTACTGTACCAACTACGATCGACATTTAATCACAGCGCTTTCGGTGGTGGGAATGAAAATTAAACGGGTTCGTTGTTTCGAACAACGAGATGTTATTAACTGTACAATTTCGTTATCAAGGATAACGTCTCCTTATCAGCGACCAATTCAGGATACGTAAAACTTTCCTCTTACCGATAAGCTAGTCCTGTTCAACCGTGTAAGAACCACTGGCCACGTTTCCATGGCGCTTATCCCGTCGCTGCTACCGGATCAATACTTCCTCATCCGGTTGTGTCGACAAGGGTGAGCGTCGAGCGAGCGTTGGGTGCTGTTTTTCGTGGATCGTGCACACGCGTCCAGACGTTTTCCACGAACGTTACTGTGTCATGTCGTCGATGGATCGATAGCATGTACGAGGAAAGGAAAATGTTGCCGGTACGTCGTGTTCGTCCCGTGTCGAGGGAAGCATGAGTGGTAAACGGCGCGTGTTCGTGCGGCAGAACGCGTAGAAACGTGACCGAACGCTGCGATTTTCGTGGTTTGTCACGCGAACGGCTGACGATTTACGTGGCTGTTGCACTGCGCGAAAATGAAGAGGCAGAATGTCAGGACCCTGTCACTGGTAGTGTGCACCTTCACGTATCTGTTGATCGGAGCGGCTGTGTTCGACGCTTTGGAGTCGAATACCGAGAGGAAACGTTGGGAGTTTCTCTCTGGTGAGTCGTCGAGATAAGCGAATATGAAATCTTGAAGAACACGGAGCATAAATTCTTGTTGTCTCGTCGACGCTTTGTAAACAGTGCAGTTTATTTCTTCAGGGCCGACCGGAATCTCGTATCCATTTATCATGAAAATTTTCCTTTAAAAAGGTGCATCGTTTGCTTTCGTTTTCAGAGGTCCGTCGAAACATGATAAAGAAGTACAATATCACTCAAGAAGACTACAGGATGTTGGAGATTGTTATAATAGAGAATAAACCACACAAAGCGGGTCCTCAGTGGAAATTCGCGGGTGCCTTTTATTTTGCGACGGTTGTGCTCGCTATGATAGGTGAATAATATTTTCTAGATACTTTTTCTACATTGAGGACTGGTAATCACCCTTTAAATAGCGAATTAAATATATCACATGTAATCGATATCAAGCCTTGATATTTAAATAGCTGAATGTATCTTATAACGAAGGTGTTGCAGAAATAAAGTTCCTTATTTTCTTTCCAGGATATGGACACTCGACTCCAGTCACCATAGGAGGCAAAGCATTTTGCATGGCATACGCCATGGTAGGCATTCCCTTGGGTTTGGTGATGTTCCAGAGTATCGGTGAACGTCTAAACAAATTTGCATCGGTGGTGATCAAGCGAGCGAAAACGTATCTACGTTGCCAGAAAACTGAGGCGACGGAAATGAACTTGATGCTTGCTACAGGAATGCTTTCGAGCATAATTATTACAACTGGAGCTGCCGTGTTTTCTCGTTACGAGGGTTGGAGTTATTTCGATAGCTTCTACTATTGCTTCGTCACGCTGACCACCATTGGTTTCGGCGATTACGTTGCTCTTCAAGTATGTACATTCATAGGTATGAGTTTTGGTACGATGTAAATTTTACAATTTTGTTGAATACGTTTGCAGAACGACCATGCACTTTCCAATAAACCTGGATACGTGGCCTTAAGTTTAGTCTTCATCCTATTCGGACTGGCTGTCGTCGCTGCCAGCATAAACTTGCTGGTGCTTCGTTTCATGACAATGTGAGTAAAACTATTCTATCGATGCAACCTAGATCTTAGAACGCTTTATAATCCTCCAACGAAATAATTTAAACCTAAATTTCGAAATAATCTTTGACTTTTCTATCGAAAAAGGAACACGGGAGACGCTCGTCGCGATGAGAGCGAGCTCCAACCAGCTTCCCACCACGTTTTGACCCTCGACGGAGAAGTTGTGGCGGTAAATGGAAAATTATTAGCTGGCCACATGCCGATCGTCCACGACAGCGACGACTGCGTGAGCGTATGTTCGTGTACTTGCCTAGGACCAGCGAGTTCCGAGCTCCTCGACCAAGGATACCAAGGATACAGACCACCTTCGACTTCTGCCAGTATTCGTATGAAACGTGCGTCAGTCTGATGGAAGGAGTTCCGTCGTCGTAGTTTACGTCGTCGACTCTCGAGGACCGACAGCAGAGAGCTACTCGGTATCGACGTGTGAAGAACCGAGTCGAAAGAAGGAAGAAACATTTGTCAAGTTTGATAAACAAAAAGAAAAAGAATGAAATGAAAAGGACTGAAGAGAAAAATATTAAACGAAAATTTGACCAAGTTCCACGATGTTCCATCGGACCGAAGTTCGACATTGTGTTCTTAAATATCTACCTTAAAGCGTTCAACCACAGATTCGTGCTAGTTCGTTCATTTTCGAAGACGTATTTTCAAAGAAAATTGAAGAGAAAGTGACGATTTATAGAGTCGCAGTTCGAACAGATGAATTATAATAATCAGCTCACGTAATGTTACGAGAAAGTAGGTTGTAGAGATAATGGGGGAAAAAAAAGGGGATCGTTTGTAGACGATTTTGTAACGATTTCGTATGTTTCATATCGTTCCATACAACAGTGAATATCGGGCGAATTCCTGTCACAATCGTAGTCGTTGCTCCGTGAATGTTGCATTGATATTCAATCGAGAAATGAGATTGTTTTATTACTTGGAGAATTACTTATCGTCTACCAAATCAGATCTTTCAAATATACTTAAAAGCAAATCCTATTGAAATACAAATTATTTATACTGATAATTCCAAACTCTTAAGCTTCACCTATTTAATAATACAAGCACGACAGAGTTTAGCAAGAATTGGAAAAATTTCATGAATTAACAAAACTGAAATATTGAAATAACAACGAAATTTTGAAGCCATAAGTTAAGTATCCTGTTTCGAGTACTATTCTAAAATAAAGCGATTCTCGTAAGAAAAGGAACAATCTCATTCCACGAAGGTAGAGCTAGCGATGATTGCCGCCTTGTCTCGCTCGAGATCTACGAGATCTCGTGACGATTATTTATACGTATACTCGATTATAAATACGGCAGAATAATACCCTCGCCTGGATAGAGTGATTGTTAAAATATACACGACTCAATGTTTGTACTAGTAGACTAGTAACGATGAAAGTCACCATAACGCAACGTTCAATTTGTGTAATCGTTGATCGACGAAAGAAAAAAAAAAAAAAATTGATATTAGAGGATAGCTTGGAATTTTGTAGCTACGAAAGTGTTTGTAATTGTGGAAAGATCAGTGTGGTTTGTTTATAGAAAATCATATTGGTCTTTTCTCAACTGAAATTCGAATCGGTACGAATTTTACTCATAACCACGACACGAACGAGCGGTCGTATTTTTTTAAACGATTAGAAAATATATTAAAACAAGAATATCCGGGAAGACTGATAGTTGAAGTTAAATCAACTGGGTAGTTGTTATTTTTTTAATGGACACGATTTTCTAGCCGCGCCCTTTAACCCTCCAACAGGTTGCCTTCAGATTGAACTATGCAAATTGAAAATTAATCATTTGTTTCCTGCAGAGGTTCCTTGAAATTTTAGATTATTTAATTATTCGTAAGAATCCGAAGCATAGACAAATTTTGACATTCTAGAAATTCATAGAGACATTTTAAAAAATTCAATTAGAACTAAATTCCAGGTATATTAAGGTGTTACATAGTAAACGACCGATTTTGAAATATACATTTTCAACGAAACGTCTGCTCAAGTACTTCGAAGTACATTAAATATCAACCGTACGAATTGGAGGGTTCAGGTGAATGATAAATTTGATTGTTTGCAACGGAGTCGCTAGTATCGATGCTTCTTTTACGCCCACCGATCTTCTATTTCGTCAATTACGAGAGTTGATTCGAGCGATCGATACACGCACAAACAAGTCACGAGTTCGTTTACCGTAAATCGCTGAGAATTATCAAGGATTGCCATCGGAACACCGTCACACTATGCACGGAGTAAATGATAGCGCGCACTCGTTTGTATACATGTACACCATAGCGCATAGACGTTCATCGTATTGTAATGACGAACCGTGATTGGGTATATTTTTTATCGTCGACAATTTTTTAATAAACGACAGTTCACTATTTTTTCGCTCTATAATCATGCTCCTTCCTATACAATTTCAGCGAACTTCAAAATCATGTACAACTTCAAGTTGTAATTAACGTAAAACCTACAAGTTTCATTAAATATTATAAAGATTGGAAAAATAAAGTTAAAGGTAAGCTAATGAGACGATGTTATAGTAAATACTAATATTGCATAATTTTGATTTTTTGTCTTTAAACAAACTGAAGGAAAAGAGAAAGCTTCGTCATGCGGGAACATATATGTGGTCTACCAAAGACAGAGGTGTCTCGTTTGGCCACTGCGGCTAGCGTGAAGGATCTCGGTTGCAAGGATGTGTGGATGCACATGTTCCAAATTAATGTCCACACTCCAAGAACAAAAATGTTTATGCATAGTTTGGCAGCCGTGTCAGCAGAAAGAAGAAAACATGCCAATCTCAAACACTGGTGGATCATTCATCCATTCAGTTACTGGAGGTATACATTGGTAACATTGGCACAATAGTATCTTCAGGATGTTTTTATACAATGTTTTCTATGAAAAACATCCTAAAAAATATTATTAAACAATTTTATAGTATTCCTCGTATTTGAGGAAATTTCAGGTTCATCTGGGACAGGTTCATGACAGTGGTATTCATGATCTCTTTCTTGACGATTCCATTCTCAGTTTGCTTCGTCATAATGTCCCATGATGAAATTCGATTGGATCAATTTAACATTTTAATCTACACATTTTGTTGGCTAGACATAATTTCTAATTGTATCACTGGATACAATAATAAAGTTAGCATGTGTGTCGAGTTGGAACCATTGAAGATATTCAGGTATAAAAACATTATCTCAATTAATTTCAGTAAAGAAATCATTTATGATTTAACATTTTCATGGTGGTTTAGACAATATTTGCAGGCTAACCTCATACCGGATGTCCTTTCTTCCTTACCATGGGACCACATAACATTACCATGGCGGAAGATTCCAGGACAAAGCTGTTTAAAATCTATCATTCTGTTAAATCTTCTGCCTCTATTGAAGCTTTCGCGGTATAACTATGTTAATATGCAAATCTTCGAACTGTTTACTGTAAGATATTTCACAATTGACAAAATTGTTTCACGTCACCCTTCCAATATTAAGTAATCTCATTTGCTCATTTTAGTATTTCGAAATTATGCATTTTTATTACGAAACATTCAGCACATTGATGCTGGGCTTTTATATGATGTTCTGGTCTTCTTGTCTTTGTTATTTAATACCAGTATTAGAATTACACCTTATTAATTATTCTGCCAATGTAAGTTCATCAATTGCCAAAAGTCTTTCATTGATTTCAACGAATTAATACACTATAATTATACTTGTAGGAATGCAAAGAATGTTGGATGATAGGATTGGACAGTGACACTATACCATTCAGATTTCAATATGCACTTTTCATCGTTGTGGAAAAATTGGCAGCAAGTGGTTATGGAAAATATGTACCAAAAGCAGATGGGCACATGATATTGAGTTGTTTCCTCATGATGATAGGGCGAGTACTAGAATGTTATATCATAGGTGAATCTTTAAAACTTGAAAACTATATTTCTAGTAGCAAACTAGAATATGAAATATTGTTTCAGTGATGTTGGTCCACATAAAAGCTGGCAGAAGGGCGTCGAAATCAAAATTTCAGGAAATAATGAATCAAGTGATTGCTTATACGATTCAGAAGCAATTACCTTCACATATGAAGAATCGTCTTCTTGCCTATTATTATTATCGTTTCAGGAACAGTTACTTTCGCGAAAAATTGATCTTACAAAACCTATCAGGTAAACTATGTCATTTTGAAATATGTATTCAGGATTCAGATAATCTATCGTTATGATTTAGAGCAATTGCGGCAAGAGATCGCGTTACAATCGTGTCACCGCTTAGTCGAAAACGTGGCGATTTTTAAAACTTTACCAAAGAATGTTTTACGATCGATCGTGAGGAATTTGAAGTTTGAACTTTATTTACCGAATGATGTGATCGTGAAAGCTGGTGCACAAGGGGACTGCATGTTCTTTCTCTCTGCTGGAACTGTGGCTGTATTGACACCAACTGGAAAAGAGGTATGATTTCTAAATATATAAAACACATAAATTTGCATGAATAATAAGTTTATAAATATTTGCAACCAAATCATTATCATTAAAAACAAGCGAAAATAGTAAAAGAGCCATTAAAACTATGCTATGTTTGCTTGCTTATAAAAAAGATACAAAGCAAAAAAATTATATAATTCCTACGGCATTAGAAGCGGGAAACTTTCCTCTTTAAAACGACTGTTTTCGTTTTTCGATATGGCTTTTGGTTCCTGAGATATAACAGTGTAAAGTGGACCGTGTTTTGGAGCGCTCAGGTATTGCTGTCTCGCTCGCACCTCCCATTCAGCCGGTCACTGACCTATCACCACTACCGCGCACGTGCGCCGCCCATTGACTACGCGGCGGCGCCATGCTACTATTACTACTACTACGCGTGCGTACGCACGCCAGAAACTAGGTCACGCAGCTGCCATTCATGAATGGGGCTACGGCGCTTACCGTACGGTCTAACTTTAAAGCTCTATATCTCAGGAACTGTTTGAGATATTGATGCAAAACAAAATGCGTTATAAAGAGCACAGTTTCCTCTATGTTTTCAATGATTTATAGATCTGTCACTTGGATGATGGAGCTCATTTTGGAGAGGTAGCGCTTTTGGTTCCTGACCAAAGAAGAGTGGCAAGCGTTATTGCAATTGAAGTATGCGAGGTGTATCGTCTCGAGCGTAAAGATTTTCGAAAATGTATCGCCGTGCACACGGAATTATTCGCGAAAATTGAGAAAATCGCTACAGAGAGAATCGAGAGGGCTGTGATCATTGAAGAACAGCACAAACGGTTCCTCATGCGAAATTCCGCGGAAGGTAATGGACGCAGAACTGGAATTGTTTAATTATAGAAACTTGAGCACCATTTCCAAATATGTATTCAGTAATAATATATCATAGGATATTTAGTTGTTAATTAAATAAACGTTTCCAGGATTTTCAATGCAATGTTAACTGAATATTCACCAAATAATTGTAGATGAATATGCATAATAATTTAATAAATAATTATTATCATTGAACTACTGACTTTTCTTTTGCTAAAATCAAGATTATTGTTTCACGTTGGGATTGTCGCTGACAATAATTGTCTTCGACAGAGAATAATCATGCTGATCGTTTAACCATATATTTAAGGATCTTATATATTATTATTGTCCATACAATGTTTGTATAGTGGCATTCCTTTATGTCTACCTTTATTTTATAATTAGATATATATTATTATTAATCATTACCTAAGATACTTACAGTTACAAGTACACTCACTAAAATCTTTAGCACTGTCGCGATCAGCTATGCACGTACAGATAATACACTGGAGACACGAACAAACTGATTAATTTATTTGTTGTTTCTTTTTTCTTATCGTTTATCTTTCACCTCGTATTTTCTCGCCTTTGGGCGATTCTCCTGTCTTGTAACTATACGCTTAATCCTTCGTCGGTGATTGTAGCGATGATCGTGAACGTCGTCGATCTCTGGAAAAATCTAGATAACAATTCTACTAGTTTATGAATAGAACTTAAAGGATAAAGGAAGTTTCCTATTAACTGTACGCGAGGTGTGTTCCATTTTCTCAAGTTTTACCCTACAGGAACCAAACAGCATCTGAAATTTTGATTCTAATTAAAATATTTAAACACTATACTTCAGATCATAGTAAATTAAAAAGAAAAGATTTCTGAAATAATAAAACCAGTTTAAACAATTTGCTACATAAATAAAAAATTTAAGATTAAAACTTGTCATTGTTAAAAATATTTTTCAATCGCAAGGAAGTTAAATTCTGCGCTATTTAATTAATTATTATACTTTTTTCTCTATCATGACCATCTAATTTCTACTACGTTCGTATAAAATATTTTTTTCACCGCAAAAATGGACCGATTCCCGGAAGGTGTTGGCTATTAATCGTCGAATCAACGATCACGACCATTTCTACGAACTTCTACCGAGTCTTTACAAGGAGTTTCGATATGGTACGTCGTAAACGAAACAGCACGTTAACAGTGTTAATTATATACATCTCTAGTGTAACGGTAAGCGATGGCGGGCCATTGTACAGACTTCAAATCACACGGTAGAAATATAAATTATTTACTATAGAATAGAGAGAATCTACTGAACTGACGTTCGTCGTGTACCTTGTTTCCCTTCCACTCTTTCTTTTAATCTTTACGCTGCGGAACTTGATTATACAATTATAATTATTTTATTTAGAAACTATTTTAAAATTTGAAAATGAACAAATCATTGTTCTTCTGAAATTAATATTTTCAAGAACAGTTGAAGAAACGAATTACGCAATGTAAAGATTAAACGATGGGTTTACGATCGAATCGACTCGTTTCTACATTCGTAAACTATCCCAACTATTTTCTACAATCACTAGATATAGTCGTGTTAATTACTAAATAATCGTGTCGTGTCTAACTTGATCACGTCTACGGGAGCACTGAGGAGAACGGTACATCTTTCCTTTCTTCTTTCTGCTTCGTCTTTTTCTTCGAATCGCACGATATTCCTCCGATTCGATTGAATACGTTAGAAAATATAGAGGATCCACGGACGTTCTACTTACAAAGTATCTTACTGAGAAGTCTACATCGAATTTTCATACATTGATATGCACCTTGTTTAAAGCAGTACCGCGATTGTCACGATTCTCGAAATTTTTCGTCTAACTTTTCTAAGAGAAAAGAAGGAGTCTTTGTACGATGAACGAACGTAAAATAGACGAAATCGGAGGAATTCGTACACGTAATTTAGCGCAATTTTGTCTAAATCATTTTCACATTTATTTCTTTTATCTTGTCATTTCTATTAAAATGTTCGATCGAACGTATCGATAGAATTTCTTTGTTTGTTTCTCATTTTCTGCGCGTACACTACGTGATATTTACACTAACACAAGTACTTCTGTATGTAAATTGTTCTAGTTAGCACTCGTTTTCCTCGACGCTTTCGAAGGGCGTCTAATAAGGCACTGTCATTAACTGTGACTGAAACGATCAGACGAAAGAAGAATGTCTTTTTCCTACGGTTCCGTGGATTCTTTCCATCATTGAGTAAAACTTACGCTTACGATATATGTATGTGTATGTTTATATGTATATATATATATAATTATAAATGCTTTTGGTACCTTTCCCTTCGGAATTCTGATACACTACCAGCTACTGACATTTCTTCGACGTTCGGAATTAAGAGGTCGTTTCTAAAGTCATATCTGTAATTAATACAAAATAATAGAAAAAATATTGTTCCAAGTTAATGTATTGAACTCACCTTCCACTCCTTCGGTTCTACCACTGAACTTGTCAAATTAAGTATTATAAAATTATTGATTGATTAAAAAGGAAGGATTGCTCCAAAGAATAATTAATGCAACATTCACTCTTACTCCCGAACGTGTCCAAGGGTTCACGATAGATGATACAGTATACATATAGTAACAGTACGTAGTTAACATTACGATTAAAATGTTCAGGAACAAATATATAAATGCAACACGTTAATATGCCCATGTGATCGTACGATCATAAAAAGCAGAACTGCTCGAATACAGTGCTGTAAGTGATGCTGCGAAGGATGCAACAAAATATATTAAAAGCATAAAACGCTGGAATTTATCCTGAAATTTTGTTCAAACGTTGCATCCTTGGAAGCTTCTACGATATGTCGTTCGATCATGACGGAGAAGTGTAATTCGTGCTATGATAATACGTCCGAGTATCGATAAGGAATAAGTAGCAACGGTATCATCATTACAGAGTATATAAATGGCGTATTGCGTAATAAACTATTCATATTGTACAACGTAACGTGCGTATATGCTTCGTACAAATAGATACAAGTTTCCCTCGATCGTTCGCCTCTCTCCTTCTCTCATTGAAGAACAGATGAAATGGTTACAGAAAGCATCTTGTAAATGAGAAAACGCGAAATTCTGAAATTCACAGCGACTTGTTTGTTCCCCTGACCCGTATGTCTCCCGAAACTCTTTTATATTCGACCGTGATGTTAATTAATCAACAAATCTAATTATTTTTATATTAAAAGAATGATTACTGTGAGAATAATATTTGACCTACCTGGTTATTAAATTCCAGAACGCAGTCGCCGAGTTGAAAGACGCGAGAAAAATGATGAACGTCGATGAAAAAAGGAAAAAAACGAAGGGAAAAAGAAAAGCAGAAAGTATCGATCGAGTGTCTGTCGAGGTACACGCGATCGAGACGATTCCTCTCGTCCCAGGACATTAATTAACCCGCCTAATATGGCTTCGACCGACTAGGATTCAGCGTCAGATCGTATATATACGGATGACGACTCGAAAGAAACGACGACGATAAATCAAGGAACCTCCTATTCATACATTTCATCGCGTACACCTCCATCAGGCTGTTGCTTAATATATTAAACGTATCTATGTAATTAGACGTTCTAAGGCTTTGGCAGTGAATTAACGTCACGATGATTGCGGTACACGTTCGCCAGTGTGATCGTCGTCGTTTCTTTCGCATTTAGTCGATGTTTCGTCCGATCGTAATTATTACTCGTCACGATTATCGCGGATCAGTCTCGTTGGAGGCAACGAGGCGTTGATTTAGCGTTTAGACGAGCATTTTCATGATGTGCCTTCGCCTCCTTTTAGACGTGCTCAGGTGAGGCCCTCTCGAAGGCAATTGGCCAGCCTCGGTGCACGATCGACAACAGAATTTCGCGTAATATTTGTGCGTGCAATATCTGGCCTTCACGATCAGGTCGCACTTCGCGAAGAACGAGTTGTCCTGGCAATTGGGATGAATGAAGATACCTGGGAATGTGAAGAATACAAATTTAGAAAAGAATCGATAAAAGTTCCTTTAAAATGTTGCCAGAGAAACTTACCGGCAACTTGTATGTCCACTGAGGCAAAGGCTGATGAGTAATCGTTGTCCGCTTCGCAACGATATCTGCCAGAATCTTCTCGATTCGCGTCGGTGATTACCAGTCTATTCAAATCTGAACACAGAATTCAGAGGATTCAAGTTACTTTCATTTTTAATCAAAGAAATTATTTAACCTACCGGTAATCTGAATTCTATTGTTCGGATGAATCAAATCGTTATCCTTGAACCACGATACACGAGGAATCGGATAACCATCGACGTTGCAAGCGATGCTAACATCACTGCCTTCGGGGAACTGATTTTGTCCTATCGTTATGTTCGCGGTGACAGGTACTGCGAGAAAATGAATTAATTAATACACCTGTAAGTAACATTCAGGAAACTAAAAAATGAAATTGAAGAAGCAGTTAGCTATGATAAAAAGAAGCCCCATGAAACTTACCTTTATATCCACCTGTATAATTAATAGATTTTTCTCAATTTCACAAATTCATTAATACTCGTGCAAAGTAAATTAGAAAAACAAGGCATGCAAGAATATTCAAGCATTGGCAATCAAGAATGTAGATATGGAAAAAAAAGAAAAAATAGAAAAAGATCCAATTGCATCGTCGCTTAACATAGACAGCAAATATAATAAATAAAGACTTCATATCTATGTTTGGACGTTGCCATTGGATCATCGATATCCAAAATATCCTTTTTTTAATTACCTAAGAATCTGTGACCAGTGTCGAAACTGGTGGTTCTTTCGATAGGACTAACCGTGGGAATATGAGTCGATCTGGATACAGGTGCATAGGTGAACTGGTATTCAGGAGTTTGAGTTCTGTTGGGTCTGTAAGGATACTGAGGTCTCTCTGGTTTCTTAGGGGGCTCGACTAGGTACTTCAAGTACTGCTCGTACTCGGGTCGGACATTGTAAACGGGACCGATTGCTTGCACCGTTATCGACCAAGATGCAGCTCTGCCGATCGCATTGAAAGCTTGACAGGTGTACACGCCTAACGTCGACAGTGTGACCGAACGA